TAGATCTGGGTGGCCTTGGACTCACAGGGAACCATCTATCTCTTAATTCTGAGTCCTAGAATTAAAGGTGTCTACCACCACCTCCTAACTTCTGGCTGCTAGGATTAAAGGTGTGTGCCTGGCTTCTTTGGCTTGTGGCTTAATTTGCTTTTCTGAATTCTCAGGCAAGCTTTAATAAAACATAAATAATATGTCACTATTGGTAGAAAAGTTGATATATTCAAACATGCATGCAAGAGAAGCACAGAAAACATGGGAAATTAAAGATATCATAAAATTATGAGATGGCATTGGTCTTAAAATATATAAATATAAATTTTTTAGCCTTCATATTATATTTAATATTCATGGTTAATGTACTGTTGTATATAAATAATATATTAGAGAATGAAAATAGAATTAAATACTAAAAATATATAATAAGAAAATCTCAAGTAATTAAATAATAGATGACATTAAGACATCACAATAACAATTTGAAAAATACAGTTAGATTCAGAATTTATACTAAATCTAGGAACTAAATCAGCATATATGAATAAACTAAATATGAAGCATAAAATTGTGTATGACATGGTAATTCATTAGGAAATTTGCTTTGCACATAGAAATATATTGAGTTGTAAAATTATATATTTATAAGGATTGACCATATATAATAATATATTGTAGATACATGAAAATCAAGTTCTCATTGTTGGAAAGAGAAGCTATAAAAAAGAAGGACTTGAGGATTAGAATGAATGTTATGATGTTTGTTTTTTAAGTCTCATAGTCTATACATGGACTATGGACTATGGACTATGGACTATGGACTATGCCTCATAGTCCATGTATAAAAGAAAAATCCATGAGCATTGATGACTTTGAATGCTTTCAGAAAGTATGTAGTTTTCTACTGTAGTTCACTGAGAAGTTAAAACATGAATGAAACTGAGAAGGTGCTTAGAACTTGAATTCCAAATGTCATGCCAAAAATCAAATAAAAATACAAAAGAACACAATGTCCTTGGAGGATGAGTGAATACTAGTTTTGGGTCAAGATGAGCTATAATGGATGATGTGAGAAAAGAAGCCATGGGCTTATAAAGCAATAGGGACACAAACACAGACAAAGGAAACAAATTCTAAGAGGCTCCTGTGGCTGAATGTTTTGCATTGTACAATAAAATGAATAATGACAATGAAGGATTATTAAGTGTAAAACAAAATAATTGCTCTTGGTTTTTGATGATGCTAGTAATAATAGGTAAGCAATTACAAGGGAAAGAGACACTGTAACTTATTGTAGAATTACAGTCAATATGTGTAGAATGAATAATGGCAATATTGTGTCTGTTTGGAAAATAGAGCAGTAATAAATGTCAGAGGTATGACTCACAGATGATTCTAGAATAATGGACAGGAATATGCTGGAAAACTTTTGATGGTTTCACAGTATAACTTTAGAATATATTAGTCAGAAAAGAGGGAAAATTAACACCTTTATTCAAGGACATTGAAAGACTCAATACTTAAACATATTAAAATATTAATATCACAAGCAATAAGTTGGACCAGGACAGAGCAGTACCACATCTTCATGCAGTGTACTGAAAAAGGACTGCAATTACTGTTGTATCCTAGGCAAAGGAGTTGACATGACTGCCATAAAACTGTTAGCTAAATTCAAACTCAAGGGCACTCACCTGGTCAGTGATCTTTCTCTTTTTAAATTAAGATATAATTACATAATTTTCTATTTTCCCTTTCTTCCCTCCAATCGTTCCTTTGTACTATGCATTCCTTTCAACTTAAATCATGTATGTGATATCCCCATCAAATCCTTCTCAGGGCTCAGAGAACTCTGCAGAAAATGAGGTGGGAAAAATCTAAAACTAGAGTAAATGGAATAGACCAAAGAATAAAGATCTTCTAGACACAACAGGGTTAGCAAAAATATAAAATCTGAGAAACTATGGAAGCATGTTTAGAGCCAACATGGGTCTTCACCAAATGGGATCTTAGAGCTAAAACAAGAAGGGGACATAAGGCCCCTTCCATCACCCAGAAGCTATCTCTTAATGTTAGCCACTTGCAAATGAAAAATTCATTTTCTCTAGGTTAGTCTCACTGGGTAAACAAACCACTCTTAAAAGAAGGCCCAATATTCAGCAGTAGATGGCCAACACAAAATGAACTCAAAGACATCTTCTGAAGTTCTTTGTCTCATTATGTTAAGTCAGGGCTACTTTTTTTTTTTTAATTTCATTACATGCCTTTGCATATGAGTTATAGCTTCTGGTTTGGGATTTGTATGGGATTTCTGTGTGTGCAGATATATGAGTCTTTGTCTATATTTGTTTATTGTGCTTTTTCTTTGGCTTTTCTTGTTTGGTTGTTTTGTCAGAATCTGATTTGTTCATTTTGACATTCTGATTTTTCAATTTGGTTTATCTTATCGTATTTTATTGTAGTATTATTACTCAGACTCCGGATTTCTAACAAGACACACGAAGAGTGTGAGTGCAGATCAACATGGGAAGTGAGTGGTGGAGCAACTGGGAGGAGTAGAGATAGGGGAAATTAAAATCAGAATGTATTATATAAAAATACATTTTCAGTAAAAGGATAAAAGAAATCTTTAATGACTCTTTTTCCCTAATTTTATTATTAAATTATATATATATATATAGTATATGATTTGCGGGTTGACTACTTAGTCTTGAAAAACCAGAGAAGACTATTTCTTTTTTCTGTATTAAATTATTAAGGTCATATAAACACAAATGTTGCAAGGTTTCTGAGAGGCATAAAGTTAGAAGATCTGAAAATTAATTAGTAGTCTGGTGTCAATATAGAAAATTGGTTAAGTCAAAACTAGATTCTATGAATATAAAAATAAATTTAAATATTATTCAAGATTGTTTGGTAAGTGAAAGGACGGATTTTTAACAAAAGAAATTATAAAGGGAAATGCTAAGTTCCTGGTAACATTAAAATTCAAAAGTATAATAAAAATTAAATTGGGTAACTTAAACATGCAGCAAAAAAGCCAAAACAAACTAACAAAATACACATTTCTTTGACAGAAACTGGAGTTTGATTCTGGTCACCCACGTTAAGTAGCTCAAAATTTGCCTGTATTTCCAACTCCAGGCAATCTGAACACTTTTCTACACTACACTAAAGCATTCTAGGCCACACTCAAAAGCACAGATATTTTTAATCAAAGAAATCATTTTCAGTTTGCCTAAAGTTATTGAATGATTGAGACTTATTTGTAGAGGAGAGATAATATAAAATATGATCTATATCACAATGTATTTGAAGTTTCAATGGAATAAGAATCCTTGACCACTTTGGAAATCAGTATGGTGGTTTCTCAGGAAAATGGGAATCAGTCTACCTCAAGATCCAGCAATTCCTCTCTTGGGCATATACCCAAAGAATGAACATTCATACAATAAAGACATATGTTCAACAATGTTTATAGCAGCATTATTTTTGGGGGGGGTTCGAGACAAGGTTTCTTTGGACAAGCTTTGGAGCTTATCCTGGCACTCATACTGGAGACCAGGCTGGCCTCGAACTCACAGATATCCACCTGCCTCTACCTCCCGAGTGCTGGGATTAAAGACATGCACCACCAACTCCCAGCTGCAGCATTATTTGTAATAGACAGAACCTGGAAGCAACCTAGATGCCCCTCAACTGAAAAATGGATAGAGAAAATTTGGTGCATTTACACGATGGAGTTCTACTCAGCAGAAAAAGAAAAGAAAAAAAAAAAACAATGGAATACTGAAATTCTAAGGCAAATGGATGAAACTAGAAGAAACCATTCTGAGTGAGGTAACCCAGTCACAAAAAGACAAAAATGGTATGTGTTCACTCATATATGGATTTTAGACATAGAGCAAAGGAGTACTAGCCTACAATCTACTCTGCCAAAGAAGCTAGGAAACAAGGAGGACTCTAAGAGAGACATACATGGTCCCCTGGAGAATGGGAAAGGGACAAGATCTCCTGAGCTAATTGGCAGCATGGGGGGAGGGGAGAGGGAGTTAGAGGGAAAAGAAGGAGAGGAAGGGAGAGGAGGTTATGAGAGAGCAGGAAGATTTATTCAGGGAAATAATAGAGGAGAGCAAGAAAAGAGACACAGCAATAGAGGGAGCCAGTATAAGTTTAAAGAGAATTCTGGCACTAGGAATATGTTCAGAGATCTAAAAGATTAATCCAAACTAAAAATCTAAGCAATAGTTGAGAGGTTACTTTAAATGCCATTCTCTGATAATGAGATTGATGACTACCTTATATGCCATCCTAGAGCCTTCCTCCAGTAGCTGATGGAAGCAGAAGTAGACACCCACAGCTAAACACTTAGCTGAACTTTGGAATCCAGTTGCAGAGAGGGAGGGGTGTTGAGCAAAGGGGTCAAGACCAGGCTGGAGAATCCAACAGAAACAGCTGATCTGAACAAGGGGTTGCTCATGGACCCCAGACTGGTAGCTGGGAAACCCGCATAGGACTGTTCCTGACACCCGGAATAAGGATGTCAGTTTGGAGGTCTGGGAAATCTATGGGGCTTCTGGTAGTGAATGAGTATTTATCTCTAGTACACGAATGGACTTTAGGAGCCCACTACACATACAGGGATACTCTCTCGGCCTAGACACATGGGGTGGGTGGGGTTTAGGCCCTGCTCCAAATGATATAACAGACTTTGAAGATCCCCTATGGAAAACCGTCACTTATATGAGCTTCTTCTTAGACTTCTATGCAGTTTTATCTTAATTGTCTGCTAAGAACTTTACATTGACAAAGGAATTGACAAACAACCACATTAAAAATGTTTGTTTTCTGTCTCTTCTCAGATGGTGAACTCCTCAAAGACACTGAACACTGCAGTCAACCATCCTCAATTTTAACCATCTGTGCCATGTATTGGATAGGAGATATAATGACCAAAACAGCATTAGTGACATCATCAAAATCCCAGACTGATGCATCAGACTTACCTCCTATGTCTGGACGAAGTTTGTTATCATATCCTTGAAGTAATGAATTCAGAATTTGTGTGATATCTCCTTCATGAATTTTTGGTGCCAAGACCCATGTTTTATTCATAGTTAAATCTTCATCATCTTCATCATCTGCTTTATCAACGCTAAACAATTCAAAGAAAAAAATATATAATAAATATTTCATTAAAATCTGTGCATTTGAATCATGTAAGTTATTTAAAAATTATTCTAACATATGGTAGTATGATAGCAAAAATCATATATATTACTTTAACATTATAATAACTTATAAGAGAGTTTTAAAATAAGAAATGCATTAAAATTAAAAATAATAAGCATACTAAATTAAATATTCAAAACATCTCAAAAAAATTTTGTGATTGTCAAATCAAAATAGAGACACTTGCATTCTTAATATATTTTTAGGGAACATGAAGGGCCTCAGTTACAAATATTAATAATTTAGTTTCAAATTGACATTCAAACTGAATGTCATAAGAAACTAGATAAACATAAATATCCTTACCCACAAAACGTAAATGCCCTTCACTGATAATGAAATTGATGACTACCTTATATGCCATCTTAGAGGCTTCATCCACTAGCTGATGGAATCACAAGCAGACACCCACAGCTAAACACTGAGCTATATTCTGGAATCCAGTTGCAGAGAGAGAGGAACACAAGTGTAATAGTCTAGGTAATATTTTAATATTTCCTGCCCCAGGTACATTCTTTTTAAAATGTTTGTTGATTCTTATTGTTTCTTTTTAATTTTATAAAGTGTATTATAAACCTTTGCAAATAAATAAAAACATCACACACTAAGGTTAACCAGACTTAAAGTCTATATTACTCAATGAACTTGTATACAGTTTGAATCATCACTCAGAACAGAGGAGGTGGATCTTCACATTAAATTTTATACTTTCACTAACATACATATTTGATGTATTTATCCATCACAAAAATCAAACCCGAAAACTCCAAGAGAAATTAGAACTTGAAAAACAATTAGCTTTATATCCTTTCTCCTAACTCATGCCATTTATATATGTTCAGTCCTTACTCTTCCCCTAACATTTAACTTTTCTTCATCCTCTAACCATCCTCTTCATACTCTAACCATATGTGAATTGCTTGCATCTATGCATAGAAACACAGCTACATTCATAATAAGCATAAGGATTTAGTTTATTACCATGTAATTCTAGAGATATTGAAGTAAGACAGATATAGATGCAGTTATACATATTTAGATACAATAAAACTAGAGAGTAAAGGAGTTTCTTTATCTTTGAAAACTTAATTACCCCATTCTTACTTGATGAAAATCTTTCTAGACTTGGCCATAGACCCCATTTTATTGTCTTTATTTATTCAGTGAATAAAGCTAACCCTAACATTGATAAACTCAAGAAAATGTACTGTTCCAAATTTCTTCCATCAATTTCCTTTTAGTATATTTAAACCATTATGCACTATTATTTCATATCCATTCTTGTCATCAAGACTTATTAGAACACGCACAGCTTTTCTTGTATAGTGAATTGTGCTTATATATTTGTATATTTCCTTGTATTTTTAATGTTGTGTTGTCAGATGACAATGAATAAAATTTTAGTTTCCAATCTGTTGAAACACTGAAAGTTGCACAATATTTAAAGGTGGGGGTCTAGTGTTACAAAGTTAGTTATTTGGAATAGGCTTTTGAAAGACATAGTGTGACAACATTCCCTTTGACTCCCTATCTTCTTGCTTCTAGCCTTCCAGGAGGTAAGTAAGTTGTCCAATCTTGCCTTTAGCTTTCCTGATATGTGGCTAAAAATAGATATTTCTCCACATATATTGACTGCATCCATTATTTTTCATAGTACATAAATATGATTAATGCATTATTAATATAATAAATCAAAGATCATCTCCTCATTAATTCTGATACTTTGAACATATAATGAGTATTTCCTTTTCAATATCTGTTTGTTCTTCTCTATCCAGAAATTATCAGTCTACTAGTTTCTGAATTGGCTACCCTTTCTTCAAGAGGATTATACAACCCTTAGACTCTAAAAGTCATAATTGACTCTTTAAATGGTTTTGAAATATAAATTATTTATCACAGCCAAGCAGAAATTTTAATGTCACATAAGTTTACCATGCCAGATGACTAGTTACTTTTAAGGTGGTTCCATCTTGTCAGTCTAAGAATGAGGGTGTCATGGAAAAGCCACACCTGAACTACAGTGGTCAATTAGCCTAGGTTTATAAGCCACAGATATTTCAGACTACTCAGTTACCACCATACTTTAACATTGTGTTTTCCTATTTGATTCATAAGAAAGTCTGTTTGACTTTCATTTCATATTTTAGGAAACAAATGGACATGTACTGGTTACTATTGCCTAGGATTGACTTCCCTAAACTCTCATTATTTTCTCTCACCGATGACACATCAAGTAAGCAGGCATCCTGAGCTGCTCTTTGTACTTTCCTTTTATCTCTTTATATTATGATGAAATTAAAAGAAACAGAATGTCCTTTTTTGTACAACCTCAAGAAATATCCTTTCTAGAGTCACAAGGTAATTGCCAGGCCACAGTGCCACGCTTTTGCCCAGTTAGCTGTATTCTATTACATTACAGACAGGAAACAACTATTGAGGTATTGACCCAACAAACATCAGTGGTTCTGAGATTCTGACTTGCACTGCTCAGTAAAGACAATGAAATACTGTTTTCACTGTGGGGAAACTTTAAATGAAGATGAAAGTTTCTACTGCACTTCAAAGAATGCAATAGCAATTACAAAGAATGAAAGGTAAACATATTAAGAAATAAAAGGAGCTTAGGCTAAAGATAACCTTTATAAGAAAAACAAAAGCCAAATGCAGGCCAGAGCGTGCCAGGTCATGTGTCTTGCAGCCCCTTAAAAAAACCTAGCACACGTCATCCTGACCTCATCTTGACCACGCTCTGACAGGCATCGTCAGGCATACCTGTAGCCAGCTTCTAGCAGGTGTGGCTTACATTGTCCCCTACATAAACATTCATACATATGGACTTATTAGATTTCACATAAGTACCTCATTGCTTGAATTGTTTTAAAAGTATTTGGCACATTCACCTCACTGAGCCTAATATTATTTCCTTCAATATTTCTCATTCTTTTCTCTAAAATAAATAAGCACATATTTAGTAATCTAAGACAATAAAAACACTGAAAATCTTGGAATCTAGGCTGGTGAGACATCTTGGAATATCATTATACCAATTATTACTAACTGAGATATTATTAATAAGCTATGTTTTAGACTTCCTTTCATCTCTCATTCCCACTTGCATGGAAGAAATTCTTTAATGGATATGAAAGGGCCAATGAATATATAAGCAGCTCACCTTCTATTGAAATCTGATTGTAAAAAATCTGAATAAACTAAAGGATTTTCACTCTAGTTTGTATGATAACAGCATTTTGATAAAGAAAGAAAAAAACACACATTCATGGTGAGTTATTGTCCCCTTTCCCAAGCAACACAGAAAATTGACCTCGGCAATATTACATAGCTGTTTCCTGATTTTATCTCAGGGAAGAAAGGAATTTCATTAGTGCTAATTTCTTTTGTTTTCCATTGAATCAAATTTTATTCTGATTTTCCAATTTGTTACTCAATGATCAGTTCTAATTTCTTTATACCTTCTCTTCAAGCTATCCAAATCAGTTTCAGAATATTCGTTAAGTATCTTAATACCATATTGGTCTTATTTGGATAATTAAAAATCACAGTTTTCAAACGTAATTGTTACACTCTATGGAATGTGTAGATATTGCAAACAGATGGGAGATTACCATAAAATTGACATATATTGGACACCTATTTGTTTGAAAGAACTAAATATTCATTACTAATTTTTCTTTACTAACACTAGAAGTGTTTCTGGATTCATTCTCAGAGATGTCTATAAGTAATTTGAATTCATACAATTGTAATATCAATGAGTCTTTCTGTCTTGATTATATAATTTTCCTAGTTGCATACTACTGATGATCTCATTGTCATTAATTGACATTGTGCATACCAAATACCAATGAATTTAAGGAACTATGCTATAAAGTATCTTGTGGAGGTTCCTTTCACATGTTATGCCATGTAATTTGCATTAATTATGGGGAAAACACACATCTCCATTTCATAGATAAGAACAGGCTTGTTTTATAGGACAACACTGGTTAAATAATAGAAGTCGGATTGTTTTCTTTTGTAAAGATTCATATAAGCTGAAAACATGTTATTATTTAGTTCCCTAAATCATTGGATTTATCTTTACTGAATAATCCAGATGGTGGGATGTGGATTTGCTACTTTGAAGAGGCACAATATATGGTATGTAATTAGGAAGCTGGTTAGATGATATTAAGTTTTTAAAGCTTCTTCACTCATCTTTTGGTTCCAAGAAGGTAAAATAATAACCTCAAGAGATCACACTCCCAAAAATGTGAATATCTATGAATCACACCTTCTCTGGGAAAAGGGCTTTCTAAGGTACTCAGTCTCCAACACAGAATTTTCATTCATTTATGAAGAAATTACCATGTATTGAAACATGTGAAACTCTGGAAATGAAAAGACAAATGATGAGTCATTTCTGACCTAGTGAATATTTCTTAGAACAGGTCAGATAAGTTCAAACAAATGATACGGAAAAACTCCAAACATAACGGTCTTTATTGAATTAAGAGATGGCATGCATTTTAAACAACATGAGTACATTTTAGCAAGTAGGAAAATACATAAAAGATGCTACTCCTTTAATCAATTAATGTTTATAGATAATCTGAAAAAAGGCTAGGAACTTTTCACAGCAGTTGAGAATTCAAGCAATTGTCCAGCATGCATAAGGTCTGGAATTCAGTCTCTAGGATTACTTAACCAAGTCTATAAAATACTATGAACATGATATCTTATGAAAAATAACATTAGGCTGTTTGTCTCTATCATCAGTAATACATAAAATGATTGGAAAACAGATAGCATGCATACTTAATATGCTACACAAGTGAGACTATAGAAGATTTTTAATAGTAATATACAATTTTCTAGTACATAATTTGTAATATTTATGCACAGAAATCAGCTAATACAGTA